CCCCCCCCCCCCCCCACCTCCTCCGGGCCCAATAAACAATGCCCAGACTAGATAAAACGAGCAGCATCAGTGGAGCACCGCATCATATCACATTACCGGTATTCCTGGAAAAACATTGCATCAAAGCGTTGTGCCATGCGCTTGGCTACATTTAGATGTAGTCACGTGATCGAAGGGGTTTCCAGGTCTGACGTCACACAAGTTGACCGCCTTACCTAAAAATGGTTTGGGTCGTTCTACGTTTAGTCACATGTTTCAAGTAGTATCGTACCATCTTGACTCTAGTTTGTGTTTTGAATTGAAGTTATTTCTTTCTCTGACTCATGCCCATAGTCTATGGCAGAATGTGTTTTATTTGTCAATTTAAAGGACACAGATACAGACCTACCTTTTCATTTCCGTTAAAAAAAAATAGAGAATCTTGTTTTAGATGTGGGTGAGGAATGAAGCAAGCAAGCGGTACTCATGGGTAGTCGTGTTTTTTAAAATTGATATTCTGAGAACATTTTTTTTAAACAGTTCGACTGACTCTAATTGCACCTGATCTTATTGGAATTATTTCGAGAACGAGGAAGAAGAAAAGCAGAAGAAAAATTGGAATTATTCTGAAATCTCTCTAACATTCACTGTCTCTTTTGAATTTATGTGAACTTAGGGTTTCTTGGTGGTCGTTCTCTGTACGTGTTTCAACCCATAGCATTGATTGATTTTTTGATTGTGTGACTTCACCTTTCTCAGAATAGATAAAACATAGTCAAACTTACTCTAATGGTCACTTGTATAAAAGAGGCCCACTTGTCTGATACGGCCACTTTTTACCCTGACAATGGATGGCCATCTTATACGGGGTGCCCACTACGGCTGGATCAGGTCGATCGCCCACGTCAGGCGTTCTGCCGATCCCATTTGTAGTGGGCACCCCGTATTAGACAGATTTTAATGTACCTTGCTCCTGGATATGTGTAAAGGCTGGCTGTTGTGGGTGGTGAGCAGTGGCAGCCAACAGCAGCTCTTTATGTGTATGGTGTCATGGACTGCGGCTGTGCTCAAGAGGAACCTCTTTAGAGTTCTGTCTTGATTTCATATAAAAAATCATAAAAAGATAAAAAGAGTGCTTGAGGTTACCTTTTCATAATGTTGTTTCATTTCAACATCCGAGCACAGTGATACCGAATTCATCAATGATTTTACTCTTTCATTCTCTTGACAGGACTCCCTTACACTTGGCTTGTATACAAGGCCATGATCAAATTGTACAGGAGCTGCTGGAATGGAAGGCAAAAACAAATATTGGGGACAACCAGTCGAGAACCCCTTTGATGAGGGTAAGTTTGATTCTAGACTCTTGTGTAACGTTTTCATGATAATGTTTCTTGTGACCTGCATTCAGTGTGACTTGAATGTAAATTGTTTGTCCTCATTAAAATTATACTCTTGACCGATTCTTGGACATATAGACAGTTTTCTGTATTTTTGCATGCTCTTAAAAAAATTGCATTTTTGATTGTTGGTGTGAGAACAGATGTAAGGGGTGATCCAAAGAGAATAAAGCCATATAATTCTGCAATGAGCTCTACGAAATGGTGAATTTTTATATGGTTTTGATCTGTTTAATTTCATCGCAGCTATCTTAATTTTGGTTTTCTTTACTTGTAGTCCTTGAACAGATAGCTATTGTTTTGTGAATTGCGCAATAACATATATTCTCTTTGAATTCAAAGCTTATCTTCACCTTTCTGAATTTCCAGAACATAGTATTTTGTGTATAGTGTATTTTCCAAATACATGAAGTATTGATACAACTGTGGAACCTTGGTAAAAAGTTCTGCTGTTTTACATTAGAATTTTCTATGTGTTAAGGTTTTATTTGTCTTTTACAGTGTTGGTGGTAATGATGGTTTGTTTTCTGTATTCATGCTTGGATACTTGATTAACTCAGTTGGTAATATCCTGGAATATGGTGCAGGCAGAACTGATTCAAATTCACATTGATTCTCTCATGATCTTATCTCGTTCAAGAGTTTTCCTTCTTGTGTAACTGATAACTGTTATGTTGGAGAAGGGTATTATGTTGAAAGTCTTCCTCTTAGATTTCTTATGTTGAGTGGTTGGAGAGGGCCTCTGGTAGGTCCTACTTCTTTGTTTCCCTTCTGTTGTTGTTTTTTCTGTCTGTCTGTCTGTCTGTCTTGCTTCTTCCCTGCACTATGTTACCGTTATTGTGTCAATGTGCTTCTCTTTAACTCAAACTGGGGGGCTCTCGTGGCCTAGAGGTTAAGGTTTTGGCCTCTCATTCAAAGGTCC